GCCACCAATCTGCTACTTTAAGCTTTTAGCCACCAATCTGCTACTTTGAGCTACCCATCTGCTGCTTTTAGCTTTTTTTGCTACTATTCTTCTACTTTTAGCTAGCCTTCAGGTACTTGTAGCTTTTGGACAGCTTTTTGCTACTGTTAACATTTCGACAGCCTTTTGACACTTTCAGCTTTTGAATAGCTTAAAACTACTTTTAGCTAGCACGTTGCTACTTTTAACTAGTATTTAGCTACATTTAGCATATCGCTTCTTTTCTGCGACTTAACTTTTCACTCTGGTTCTGCTGCTTTTAGCTTTTGGTCAGTTTCTGACCCGTTAACCGTTTTGCTTCTGTTCTGGAACAAAACTTTTTTGTTACCATTCGGCTACTTGTAATTTTGTACATGCTGTGATCTTTACGGCGGGGCGGGTGGTTCCTTGGCAGGGTGCCCCCCCCGTCAGGTAAAGGGGAAGCTCCGCCTTCAGAATGAACGTTCTTCTGCCTGCAGGTAGCTCAGAGCTGCAGCCTGTTGAAGGAAATCCCCACAGAGGGATCTGGAAGGCCTGCTGCTGGAGGATGGCTGAAGAGGTACAGAAAACTTCTCGCCTTACGCCGTAAACGTGAAAAAACAACGACGTGACTGAACTGTGTGTTTTAGGAGCAGTTGAACCGATACGAGCGAGCGATCTACGCCAGCCTGAGTGGAAACCTCAGACCGGTAACGTGAACGTGTTTTTATGTTGGCGGTGTTGGTTTCGTCTCCGGCCGTGCTGATCTTCGTCTCTTGGTGCCGTCCAGCTCCTGACCGTGTGCGAATCGTGGGAGGACTGCGTGTGGGCGCACTTCAGAGTGATGGTCGACTCGCTGGTGGAAAAGCATCTCGTGTCGTCAGGAATGGCCCACGAGGAAGTGGAGTCGCTGCCGCGGGAATATCTGGAGGCCAAGTATGAAACGAATGATCCGACTTCCTTCTGAAACTTCCTGAATCGTCTGATTGCTCCGTTTCCGTCTTCCTCCTCAGCTGGACGATGGAAAAAGTGTTTGAGGAGCTTCAAGCGTCCGAGTCGAAGGTCATCCGCACGCCGATTGTGAGGATTGTGATTAAATTCAAACAGCTGAGCCTAAAATAAATAATTGTTTTTGCTTTTGCTCAGAGAGTCTTGGATGAGATTAAAGAACATTTCCACGTCATCCAGAAGTTTATCATCCTGGGAGATCTGGACGGTAAAACACCTCGTGGACATGAACTGAAGTCTCTTCTCACATCGTCCTCATTTTTATTTTTACAACATTTTAACTTAAATACTTCTGCAGCTTCTGTTCTGTTGTCGGAGCTTCAGCTCTAGAAATTAGCTTCAGCTGCTGGTTCTGCTTTGGCTCTCTTAGCTACTTTTAGCTTTTAGATGCTGTTCTGTTTTATCTTTTTGACAGCCTTTTTCTCTTTTTAGCTAGCTGTTTGCAACTTAAGCTTTAGCTGCCAATCTGCTACTTTTAGCTTTTAGCTACCAATCTGCAGCTTAAAGCTTTTAGCTACCAATCAGCTACTTTAAGCTTTTAGCTACCAATCTGCTACTTTTAGCTGCCAATCTGCTACTTTTAGCTTTTAGCTACCAATCTGCTACTTTTAGCATTAAGCTACCAATTTGCAGCTTTAAACTTTTAGCTGCCTATCTGCTACTTTAAGCTTTTAGCTGGCAATCTGCTACTTTTAGCATTTAGCCACCAATTTGCAGCTTTAAAATTTTAGCTGCCTATCTGCTACTTTAAGCTTTTAGCTGCCAATCTGCTACTTGAGAGCGGAACCCCCTTTTAGCTACCAATCTGCAGCTTTTAGCTTTTTTGCTACTATTCTGCTACTTTTAGCTAGCCTTTTAAGACCTAAGTTTAAAACTTTGTTTTTCAACCACTTTATTGCTACTTTTACCCGTTATCTAGCCCTTTGTAACGTTTAATCTTTTAAATAACCAACTTTAAGCATTTTGCTACTTTTCTTAGCCTTTTGCTATTTTTAGCTAATTCGTTTTTTCCTTCTGTTCTGCTACCTTTAACTAGCCTCTAGATACTTTTAGCTAGTCTTTAGATATTGTCAGCCTTTTGACACTTAACTCCTAGCTAGCCTTTATCTATTTTTAGATACCATTATGCTTTTCTTTAGCTTTTTATAACATTTACTACAGTTAGCATTTAGCTAAGATTTTGATCTTGAGATTACAAACTTATACTGTACATCCATTTTGCTCCTTTTTCCTTTAAGCTAATCAGCTTGTCTTAGTGTTTAGCTCATGCTTAGCTTCTTTTAGCTAGTGCTTTTAGCTCTAACAACTCGGCTTCGTCAGCAGACTTCGGCGCTCAGTGTTCTCACCGCATTTCACAGAAATTAATTTAAAACGTGAAAATGAAATTAAATTCTTTGTTCCGATCAGGTTTAATGGAGGAGTTTTCTGGTTGGCTGGCAGCCTCTAAGCCCCTCCCATCACACCTGCTGCGTTTCATGAGTCACCTGCTGCTGTTTTTCCGCTCTCTGGGTTTGGCTTTGAAGGTAACGCTGAATTTTATGTGTAGTTTCATTGTTGTTCAGCAGCGAGAGTTCAAATAAAACGAATTCAAGCTAAAAATCTGTTTAAATTTCCGACTCCACAGGAGGAAGTTTGTGTCGATGTGCTGAAGGCGTACGTCTCGATCCTGATCCGGGACCAGCAGACGGATCTTGTTGCAAGCTACGTTGGCCAGCTTCCTGCTGATCACGCCACCGCTCAGTACGCTGCTTTTCTGGAGACCGTCACCCAGCCGGAGCTCCGCCCTCGATGCCTGCAGCTCGCCACCGGAGCTGGTGAGACGCCACTCGGTGAACCCGGAGGCCGTCGAGACGACAGATCCTGAATGTTTTGGTTTGTTTACGCAGGTCTGGATGTTTCTGCCATAACGAAGCTGGTGGTGGAGGCTGTCAGAGAACGAGACGACACGGATTTTACACATCACAGCCAAACGCTGGAGACGGGAACCACGAAGGTACAAAACCGGGGGCGTCCAAACTTTTTGACACCAGGGCCGAAACCACCAGGGGCTAAAAAAAAAAATAGAACTTTAGCTCGGAGAATGCCAACATTTTAGTGGAAGAGGAGTTTTAAATTATAGTTCAAAAAATAAAAACCCTCACAATCATTTCCCTTTTTAACAAAAACTATCCAGTTCCTCTGATTCGTCAGGTTTATTTTTCTTCTTTCCTTGTGTTTGACATGTACATGTTTGTTTATTCTCGGGTACAAAAAGCTCAACACGACTCGCTTCCCTTTGACGAACGTCACTAAAAAGTGGTCATGTGACCCGGTGGAAGATCCTCGAACAGCAAACGTTGCCTCGCAGCTCAAATTTCACCCGAGAGTTTTAAAAAGTGCTGGATGCACCGAAGAAGTGCAGCCAGTAGCGATCAGAACAAAGTCCAGTTTCCTTAGTTGGTAAAGGTTTCGGCTCCTTTTCACGTGAAACTAAAAATAAATAAAAGTGTGGTTTATTAAAGAAAGAAAAATATACTTTGTGTTAGAACTTTAAAAATCATCACTTCATATAAATATCACCTGTTTCTTAAAGAGTAAAAATCATATTTTCTGGACTGTCGTCACGGGCCGCACAAAATCACTCAATTAGCCGCAAATGGCCCCTGGGCCACACTTTGGACACCCCGGTACAAAACCAGTCATTTGGTTTGTTTTTTACCACAAACAGCAGATTTCTTCAGCTGTCTTGTCTGCCCCTCCTTTAAGGCACTAATATCTCCACTCGATGGTATCGGACGCCATATTCATACACCGTGTTTGCATCATCATAATTTTTGGTGTCCCATGAAGTAAAACTGGATATTTTGGGTTTATCGCCCAGCTGCAGGACCACGTATCATAAAATGAAGTACTCTTGGTGGTAAAAACGGCCACGCTAACTTCAGATCTGATGAAACTGAGTTCCTGTTCTCTGATAGGACGACCAAAAGAAGATCGACATCATCGATTGGCTGCTGTTTGACCCCGCCCACCGAGCTGAGGCTTTGAAGCAGTCCAATGCCATCATGAGGAAGTTTCTGGGTACGTTCGAGTTCCTAATAAACATTTTAATGCAAATTAGAGGTTTACTGGATTTTAATCTTTGTCTTTCAGCGCTGCAGAAAAATGAAGCGGCCAAAACGGTTTTCTCTAAAGTTCCCGAAGACTCGATGAAGGAAATTTACTCCCAGTGGACGAGCGTCGGCCAGACGGCGCCCCTGCTTGCTGAGGACGAGAACGCCATCAGAGAGCACCTGTGCATCAGAGCCTACCTGGTCCGTCAGACCCGCGATGCGGCTCAGCTGCTCTCCTGTCGGGGACGATTAACCGATGTGAGTGCGTTCGTTGCAGGAAGCTCACGAGGCGTTCACTGACTGGTTCAGCCACAGCAGCTCAGCGCCACAAAAACCAGTACCAGCCCCCGAGGCCAAATTCACAGAGAGGGTGGCCAACGAGATGAGAGAGAAGGAGTACCAGGTATGCTCGCGGTCCGGTTTAATTCAGGCAGAAGGTCCAACTCAGATTTTGTCATTTTAATTTCAATCAGCTTGAAAACGTAGAGAACCGAAGTTTCTGCTCGCTGGAACGTCTATTAAAGGAGAACTGAGCGAAAATGTTCTTGCTGTCTTATTCAGAGGTCTTTGGATGGATCGAGGTTCTTAACTCACCGCATGGTGTCTGTAATCCAGATTAGTAGCAGTTCTCCTACGAAGCAGGTTATAAATGCGTGAACGCAGCGGTTATCGATGCAGAGAAGTCTTGATTCTAACCAGCAGAACTTTTTGTGTGTTTTGGGTCTCAGGCCGCCCTGACCGCCTGGTCGTGTCGACTTGACGTTCTGACTGAAGACGTGAAGGAAAGAATCTACAACGTGCTGCTGTTCGTGGACGGAGGATGGATGGTCGACAACAGACAGGTGATAGAAACATTTAACATTCAGCGTTTGATCTCTTTTTTAAAATATATTTATATATTGTATATAAATCTGACTGACTGTCAAATGCAGACTGTAGAAGCTGGAAAACCTTGGCCACTGTTAGCTCGGCAATAAACAACAGTGTCATCAGCATAGAGATGTAAGGTGGCGTCAGGAATGTTTTGACCTATATTATTTATATAAATTGTAAAAAGAGTGGGTCCTAAAACTGAGCCTTGTGGCACACCATTAGTGACCGTTAAATAGCTAGACGAAGTACCGTTGTGTCGAACACATCTCAGTCTTGTTGAAGCTCCAAAATTCAGTTGAAACCCGTGCCTTCTTGTAAAAAGTTGTTTTTCTCTGCAAAAAGAAGCCGAGGACTTGTTTACTGATTTTTATTAAAAGCTTTGTGTGACATATGCTGAAGAGCTCAAACCACACCGAGCGTCCGCCATTTTGAGAACCAAAAAGAGACAGCCCATGTCACGTCAAGGGGACTCCCTCCCATTTTTCTTAAAGAGACACGCTGCTCACTCCCTCACTATCCATCCTTCAGTTCCATCCAGTGGTCAAAAAAAGGTACTACACTTAAATTAAGCAACATTTCTTCTTAAATTTGACAATAATTAGTAATTATTGTCAAATTTCAAACAATATTATCGTTTATCGCAATCATTTCTGAGACGATCGCCCAGCAACATTTGCTATCGTGACAGGCTTCGTGGGATCTCCTCCTTTCAATAATGGTAGCATAAATCCGTTTTTCAAGCATCTGGGAGAGTATTATGTTGTATGGACAAATTAAAAATGTATGACACTGAACACTGTTTAAACTCTTTCTTAAAACCCTAAAATATTTAAATTTATTAACGCGAATATGACTTGTTTTCTAAAGTGAGTTGAGATTTGCATATTGAGCTTTTTAACTCCCAACCACCGGAAGAGTTTAAACCTGATTTTAAAAGTACAAATAATGAAGAGAAGTGGACCAAAGTCACATTGTTCTCTTTGGTTTGGAAAAGATTTTCAGATAAAAAGCAGAAATGACAAAAACGTTGAATAAACACCTCCTTCAGGACCAACATGTGACGATGCTTTAAGCACCAAGTTGAAATAAAAAGGCGGTCCAGAGTGGTGATTCTTCTGAAACTGCTCCTTTTCCTTATCGTGCACACGGCTCTTGTTCGCTCTGTTTGCGTTCAGAGAAGTTGGTTATGATTTGAAGCTGCAGCTGCATTAAATTTGACCAAAACATTAATAAATTTGACCAGATGGTTATTTTTGTTGCAGGCATTTTGAATCAGGTTGTCTGTGTGCACCCATTGAGTACTTTCTGAGTGGTTCGTTGGATATTTTGCTAACGAGCTTGCACAAAAACGGTTACATGAGTGCCTTTTGTTTTGTACAAACTGTTTTCTATTTGCAAGTTGTAGCACAAAGTTTTACAAAACGGTGTGTGAAAAGTTTGAAAACAGGCAGAAACTAATAAAACTAGAATTTTCTCATTTGGAAATCGCAGTTTTGATCAAAAATGCAAACGCAGCACCAGAATCATCAGAGTGATTATTTGTTGTTTATGTGAGAAGTAAACAAATAGTTTTTTGTTTGTTTTGCAGGAGTCCGAGGTCGATACAGAGCGCAGCCACCAGATGGCGGCGTTGCGCTCCCTGTGTCTTCCTCGGCTCACCTTTCTGCTGCTCAGCGTCCTGCAGAGCTCCTCCAGACACCAGGAGGCGCTGCGGCTTGCTGACATCATCTCATCGGACCAGCACCGCCTCTACCGGGTAAAGGCCACGAAGTCACGACGTTAAATCTGCTCAGAGACGATGACAAGTCTGTTAAAAGGGAAACTGGGTTACGTCCTGACGCATGCTCAATAATCCAGGTAGAGAAGTCTAACCAGGTTGAGTCGGGTCCTCCGGACGGTTTGTTGAAAAATGTTTCGTCTTTTATTCAAAAGACTTCTTCAGTCTGAGGAGCTGCAACAAAAAAACGTGAAGTGAAGGAGGCCATCTTTGTGACGAGAAACATCCATCATTAAACGGGCGGAGGCCTCCGTGTCCAGCTGTCCCCCTCTTACATGCTGTTATTGCTAGTATCACTCAGACCCCTGTGAATAGCAAGCGGTCGTCAGAGCATTAACAACCAATTGTTAGGATGCTAACGATCCATCGTTGGACTGGTGGTCCTCCTTTACATATGAATAGCTAGTTCTGGCTGTCCGCAGCAAACTGGTCGATCCACTGAGGTTTTTTTATTTATTTACAAGACTGAGTTTGTTGCAGCTCCTCGGACTGAAGAAGTCTTTTGGATAAAAGACGAAATGTTTCAACAAAGACTCCATCCATAGGACCCGACTTAACCTTGTTATAAACAGGGTTACTGTACATTAAAATGTTTTTGTTGCAGGTTTTCTCCAAAGAGGAGATGAGGAGGTTCCTTCAGAAGCTGCGGGAGTCGTCTCTGGCTCTGTTGGACCGAGGTCTCGACCCGCTGGGCTACGAACTGCAGCCATGAACACACACACTCTTGAATGTTTGCTAAAATGTTTGGTAATTTTTCTTTTTTTTTAAATAAAAATTTTCAAAATTCTGAAACGGGTCCTCGTGATTTCATCGTACTGAGAAAATGTCTTTCCAGTATATAAATGTTAGCAGACAATCTTTTGAAATAAGTTGTTTCTTGTATAATTTAGGTTAGTTCTGAAAAAAAAAAAATCACGATTTAAAGATCTGATCATAAATAAAAATTAATTTAAATCTGCTCATTGAAATGTCAGACAGGTTAAAAAACCCTGAAGTTCTAAAATGTAGACTTTTGTCTTCTCTCATCAGATGTGAGCTTAAATTAAATTTAAAAAGAGGCCAGCTATCGCATGCGTTTGTTTACCTTTGGAAAACGGCTGAAGGGACTGAAAATGTGTCCATGGAACAGCTGTATGGGATGAAGAAATGTGATTTGATGTGTTGGTTTGTGTTTACACTGATTTGCAGAGAAAGAAGCTTTAAGTTGGGTAAATTTAAAATGTGCATTTAAAAGTGCTTTTTTTTTTTATTTGGAGTACGTATACGGCCTCTACCTGCATTTCAGACCTAAATATCAATGCATCTGTAAAACTACGGGGGTAAACATCCCAACCTCATCATTTGAAATAGTTCAGGATGACCTAATTAATGCTTGGTAAAGTCAGTATTTTGCGATGCATTAATTTTACTCTCACAACGTAAAATATCAAAATGAATTTGATATGTTAGCATATAAAATAAAGGATGAAAAGACTAGTCGAACATCAACTTTGAATAGCGGAAATGACTGAATGGAGCGTGGCGCTTGATTTGACGCATGCGCATTAGTAACTAAACGGTTTAATGAGCGCTTCCGGCCAGCAGGAGGCGCTGATGTTTGTAGAAGCCAGCACAGACTGAAGCAACTGAACAGTTTTCTATTGTCTTAAGTGAACGAAAAGCGAATTCGTTCGATATTCCTTAATACACATATAAAGGTGAGTAAACAATTTCGAACTTTAATTGAAAAGGAGTTTTGTATCTGATGCAGGAATGTAAGTTAGCGGAGCGTTAGTAGAGCAGGCCGCAAAGCCTCGGAGTTTCCTGGCTGAGATCGACGGACCCGTGAGTTGCGACTTTCATCTGTGAAGTTAGACATTTCGTTTTGATGTTGGTTGGCTGTTTATTTTTTTGGGCTAAAATAAAAAGTGAAATTTAGTTAAAATTTAACAAGGTGTAATAAAATTGTTTTAGCTGCAACTTAAAAGAATGTGGAGCGGCGGGTAGACATTAGCCTAGCGTCGATTAGCAACATTAGCCAACTTTTAGCTTTTGAACGGAGCGTCGTTCGTTTGTGAAGTTCTGCCTGAACGCGATCCGAGTCCGACCCGGTCGGTTCTGAGTCAGGGGGGGGGGGGGGAAGCGGTACATGTCCGGGCAAGCCTTCTACACGTGTCGGTGTTGGACAACATGTTCCGACCCGCTGCCCCCAGAAACTGGACCGAGCGGTACCAGACAGGTCTGCGTCATTCTTTCACTTTTACAGTTTATTTTTCTGGCCTGCAAATTCATTCACTCGCTCAGTTAAAAAGAATAAAAATTAGTTTTCAAATAAAACAATTTTATTTATTATGAATAAAAGAAAATATAATTTCATAATAAATGTATTTGTTAATTAAAGGGTAAACGTAGTAATTTAAATGAAGGGACACCTTTTTTTTTTAATTTAAATAAATCATTAAGAAGTTAACTAATGCCTTTAAGGCCAAACATTAATTGTTGATGTACTTTTTTCTTTTTTAAGTCTTTAAAACTTGTCGCTGGCAACATTTTGTTTATCTTGTTTACAAAATAATGAACAATATTCTGTGAACTGGCAGAATATGTTGGTGTAATGTTTATGTTAAAAGGAACGTACTAAAGATAAAAAGAATTAGGGTTTAAATTAATCTTGGGCGTTTTTTTCTGATATTTGTGCAAATCATGAACCTTTGAATTTAAATTTAAACACTTAAAAGTTGTTTTACTGTATAAATTTGAAAGAATCCACTTTATATTTTTAACTGATTTTACAATCTTGACAAAAATACACGACTGCTCTATAGATAAATTATATTATTGTAGCAGCTTTGTTTCCAACTAAATTAATTAAAATGTAATGGACCCGACTCACCTGTTGTTGGATTTAGTTTCGTGGATTATTGAGCTTGAACTTTGATAATTATCGCAGCTGAATATTAGAAGCTGGGCACTTTAAATTGATTTAGTTGTAGTAAATAAGGAGGGGATGTAAATAAATCTTACAATACTGAATAACCTTTGGGTCAGAATATTCTGCTCTGTCCTATTTTAATCATTTATATTGAATTATTAAATGCATGTGATCAGGTTGGGAATGTGATTATTTTCTACTTGTCTCCAAAAAATCCCTCAAAAAACTAAAATTGTGTTTGAATAAATACAAATTTAAAAAAATTCTCATCTGGGTTAGTTAACCCAGGTTACCTGTTGAGTTGGGGATGAGTCAGCCTGGACTAGTCCCGGCATGTCTACAACAGACTAGATTAAATCAGCTGTTCCAGTAGCTGCTGCTGACTCAACCCTCAGCCGGTCCTGATTGGTCCTGGTTCTGGGCTGGTCTCGGTACGGGTCTAGTCCTGACATGTCTGCAGGATATAAGAGCTGCGGTTCTGCTCGGCTTCTCTGAACGCACTTTATCTGCTTCTGTTGCACAGGATGAGCTGCTGACACTCTGCAAGAAAAGGTAAGCGTGTAATCCAGCAGCACAGTTACACATCACTTCATGTGTTAAATGTTTTAAGACTTGTTTTACTGCTTCACTTTTGTTTTCTAGGTTTGTTAGAAATGTCACGTTTTTAGGCAGAACTGACAGTTTGCTGTAAATTCTTTGAAAAGTAGTTTTCCTCAAGGTTTAAAAAGTGCTAAACCTTTCAGAAAAGTAACTTTAAACAGTTTGAAACTAAGACATAGCTCCTGAACGTTAACCTTTTAATGTCTGCGCAGGCAGTGAAATAACTGTAAACACGTTTCTGTAAGAAATATAATACAAATAAACGTCCAAATAAGTAAAACTGAGTCTAAATCTACAGAAAAATAACTAGAAGTACTTTAAGTACTTTAATAAATGATGCAGACAGCTGCTGCTTTTATGTTGTATTAGATTTAAAAAGCCCCAAAACTTGGAACAATTCCAGATCACTTTGTTTTTTAATCATGAAAATGAACGTTTAGTTTAAAGACTACAGTTAATACGGGAAATGTTTGGTTCAGGAAACAGTTTAACAACTTTTATTTTTCATTGTTCTGTAGATAAATCGTGAAGCTGGTCAAAAATAAATAAATCTTTATAAGAAGACGTGATGTTTAAGGGGATCAAATCTTTAAAACGACAAGAATATTTCAACTGTTAATTTAATTAACAGAAATGCCAAGAGACACTTGGTTTTATTTACACGTCGTTAAACGCGCTGCTGATGATGATGCTGCTGCTGATGATGATGCTGCTGCTGCTGCTGCTGATGATGATGATGATGATGATGATGATGAATGAACTCATGAAAGTGTGAGCATTTGTTAAAGAATGCATCCAGACCCAAAGACAAACGACCCTCGCTCTCTCTGAAACCAAACGTTTCTGATCCGGGTCTCGGGTGGAGATTTTCAGGGGAAGGTGTGAAACGCTGCACAAGTGTGAGGTCACACGTGCGCACTCCAGGCGGCTGCAGTCACAAGTTTTTCTGCACTAACAACCGTTAATGACAGAGAGCAGAGTGTTTTTATGCTACTCACCCTTTTTCAGCACGTAGGAGCAAAACTACTCCAATCCAGTCTCCAAGGAGACGTTGGTGTTCACCAGTTTGGATCAGGGTCCTGCAGACGCTGCATGTGACCTCGGTCAAGCACCACACATGGTTGATTACTTCATACTGCCCCACAACCCGACTCCTGAGATGGTGTCTGGTGGATGAACGGATGGATGGACGGATATATAGATGTGTGAATGGATGGACGGTTGGATAACTGTATAAACGGATGGATGGACCACTGGATAAATGTATATATCGCTGGATGGACGGGCGGATGGTCGGATGGTTGGACAGTGGGGCGAACGAGCGGCTGGACAGCGTTGGTTCATGACAGCCTTGCTATATTTTGCTAACAGACGGGTGTTGAAGTTTTAGACAGACGTGCGTCCCGTTCTGGGACGACTCTCAGCTACTACCACACCAGGTTGGAGCAGATCTGTAAAACTGAGCAGGAACCATTTTAGTTTTTACACTGGTTAACTGGTTGTGGCGGTTATGTTTATTCAGTGATTGTGTCTTGGGATATTTTGCTAACAGGCACACACACAAAAAAAACCCCGACCCGTTTAAATATATTTAAGTTCTTAAATTAGACTTTAATTTGGTGATCTTGTTTTTAAAAGAATTAACGGTTATAATTGTTTAAACAGTCTTTGATTAAATAAACGATTTCTGCTAAACTCTGCGTGGACTTTGAAATATTTCCTGAGAGAAATGTTGACGCGGTGTTGCAAGATTAAAAAAATCTTTATTTTAAATCGTGTCGTTGATAAATAAATATAATTAATTTCAACAGTTCAGGTTTGATTTCATCATCTGGTGGAATCAGAAGAGTCGTCTCGGAGCGACCTGGTTCTGTATTGATTATTGATTATTGATTATGTCTGCAGGAACAAACGGCTTCAACATGTCGGCTGACGAGGAGTTAAAACTGGACATGAGCAACGAAACCAACCTGGTGAGAGCTGCCGGACTTCAGCTCACGTTTCTGTGAGGATGTAACGTTTCGCAGCACGACTCGACGTTTGTCTCTGTGTCCAGGTCCGACCCAAGGTGGAGTTCTTCTCCTTACTGAAACACGCCGGTGCCACGAAAGACGTGTTCACCATGAAGGAGGTACGAGGGCGTCGGCCGAGCTCCTAAAGCTCCTCAAACATTTGAGTTTTATGAATCCAAGGCTCGGTTTTAAAGCAGAAAAGGGGAAAATGAGCTAAAAGTAACAAAAGGCTAGCTAACAGCAGGAAAGAGGTAGCTCAAAGTAGCACAGGGGTTGTTAGAAGTAGCTAAAAGGTAGCAACAAGCAGCAGCTGTATAGCTAAAAGTAGCACAAATGTAGGTAAAAGCTACAAGTATTGGAAAAAATAGCCAAAAGCTAAGCATAGCAGAAGAGTAACTAGAAGCTAAAAGTAGCTGAAAACAAAGTGGAGGCAGTTTACTGAAGCACATTTGACGAAGCTTTGTGTCTTTTATGGAAAATATTTAAAAACCCTCTTTGAAAAGCAGCCGAAATGTGTCGGTCTTGGTTTTGTTCACGTTGAGGTGAAGTTTCTAGTTTAAAGCACTCGAGGAGTTTTTACAAAAATAAACTTTTGGTCATCTTATTGTTCAACAAATATTCATGTCTGAAATATCAGAAGACCGTTAGAAAAAACTGAGCAGTTCATGAAGACTGAAAATAAAATTTGTTGTTGATAATTTTCCATTTTTGTCCGACGTTGAAACGTTTCTCAGACTTTGAGCGTTCGGCTGGTTGAGCCCAGATCTTAAATAACTTTAGTTCTGCTGAAAGATCCGGTTTAAAGTTCTGTTTATTGTCTCATTCAGCCGAAGTAAAAACGCTCCAAAGTAACGGTTCGGTTTGTTGTTTTTCCTTCTTTTTTTCCCATGATGCATTGGTGTTCCTCCCAGGTGATGTTCTACCTGGGCCAGTACATCATGCAGAAGCAGCTGTACGACCAGAAGCAGCAGCACATCGTGCACTGCGCCCAGGACGCTTTGGGTCGGGTCCTGGGACTCGACAGCTTCTCCGTCAAAGAGCCTCGGTGAGTCGGAGGAAAATGTGTTTTAAAAACTTTTTATTTTCATAAAAACTAAAACGGGTTCTGTTTTTCAGAATTCTGTTTGCGATGGTCACCAAGAACCTCGTGGCTGTGAAGAATCAAGGTGGGTCCGCTCGCCGCTTTTACTTTCAACGTTTGGAGGTTAAACCTTTTTAAAAGGCTGCAAAGACCCAAACGTTCTCCCAGGACGTGTCGACTGAGCAGAAACTCGACGGCAGGAAATAACTCCGTTGGTTTTGTTCTGCAAAGATCCGTTTGGCTCCACGTCCATTCTTTGACTCTCCAGAACCTAAAAGTTGTTCAGATGATGAAGGAAACAGAAACGGTAGATTTTAGTCGAGCTGCTCGCTGACGTCACGTCAGTCAGAACGTTTACAGCAAACGTACTTTTTACTTTGTGTATTTACTCCGACGTGTTCAGAAGTTTTTAAAAACTTCCTCTTTGCCTCTGGACTTTAGTTCTGGTCCGTTCTGGTCCGACTGCGTTTACTGAAGCCAGAATCTAATCAGAATCGACTTCCTGCCCTCAGTTAATGATTGAAACTACTTGAGGTGTTTCTGAATAATTATTCTTCAATATTGACTTTGTTGTAGCCTCCGGTGTTTTCTGTCTCTCGAGCATTAAAACGAACTGATCAGTGAGAGTCGCCTGCACGGGAACTGAAACTGGTCCCGGGTTCTTTTGACCCGTTCAAGTCGACAGCGAGCGCCCGCAGCTCACGAGAAACACCGAGAACGTTCCGATACATTTTGGAAACTCCTTGGAGAGCACCGCTCTCCTCACAGCTCTGAAACGAAACGCTCTCATAAAATTTAATTGAAGTTTGGTGTGTTTGAATTTTAGTATAAATCTGACTAAATAAAAGACGTGCGTCTAAAGAAGGTTGTTATTAAAGTTATTAACTGTGAGTTCAGGAGCCTTTTTGAACGACGTAAAGGTCAGAGCTGAACACGTTTCGGCTTCAGAGACCGAAACTGGAACGAACAGCCGAAGTCCAAAATAAAACCTTAAGGAAGGAGAACGATCTCTGAACTGTTTGTAGTCGTACAATTTAGTTTAAACATGAAGAAATGTTTAATCACCAAACAACAAGACCAGCCTGAGGAAAAGTAAAATCTTTATTTCATGAATCAGCTCTGACTTCAGGAAACGGGTTGTTTAAAGCAGGATGGACAAAAACTGAACTCTGTTTGTTTTTTAAGATCCAACGATCAACACAAGTGAAGGACGCAGTCCACAGGTGGACAGAGGGACAGAGGTGGACAGAGGGACAGAGGTGGACAGAGGGACAGAGGTGGACAGAGGGACAGAGGTGAGACAAATGACAGCAAGGCTCGGATATTTACCAAGTTTAAAGCGTTCAAACGGTAAATGGTTAAACTTCTGATTTTAGGAGGTTTATAAGAATTAATCTGAGTCCTGATTTGTTTCAGGCCACAAACACAGAGTCTTCACCTCCAGACAGGAGGAGGCGAAGGAGGAGCAGCAGCAGGAGTAATGACCCTGGTGAGTTTCTCTTCTGAGGCGCCGCCGCCCGTTTCCTGCTCAACGCAGTTGTGACATAAGCCCCGCCCCCCGATCTCTGCAGGTCCCTCCCACAGCGCGGAGGTGGATGACGAGGACAACTTGGAGGAGGAAGAGAGGAAGAGGAGGAGGTCTGACAGCTACTCGCTGACGTTTGACGACAGCCTGTCGTGGTGCGTGATTGGTGGACTGGGGAGTGGGCGGGACAGAACGAGCAGCCAGTCGGACGCGCACAGCATGGTCAGTGTCTAACACACACACACACACACACGTATGGGTCAATAACACTAACTGTGTGTGTGTGTGTTTAGTCTGGTAGGTCAGAGGTCACAGCACCTTCAGACTTGGACAGCGACAACTTCAGCGTAGAGTTCGAGGTGGAATCCATCGATTCTGACGATTATAACGAAGACAATTCTTCTCTGTCTGCTGACGACCAGGTGAGCTCCACAAACACACCTGGACTCACCTTTGAGTAGAAGTGCGGTCCATTCACCATAAACTGGACTCGTTAGCCTAGCCTGGATGCTAACTGCTATTTGTCAGACTTCCCCTTTAAAGGACAGGAAGTGTCTCACCTGTTAATTTGTCCTCAGGTGTATGAGGTCACCGTCTACGAGGAGGAGGAGGAGGACGACACAGAAATAACAGCAGCTGTGAGTAAAAACACACAATTACACACTACTGTGTAACTACGCACGTGCACAGCTACAGTCGGGTGTAAGTGTGCTCTGCCTTCACCAGGACTTCTGGTGCTGTGAGAAGTGCAACGAGTTGAACCCGCCTCTACCTAGAAACTGTCAGCGCTGTTGGACTCTCCGTCAGGATTGGCTGCGGGACGCGTCAGTCAACACTTCCAATGCTAAGGCCACACCCACAAAACCAACTGACCAATCGGCTGCCAAAGAAACTCCAGGTAGGTTTTTAGCTCGCATGGCTGTTTGTTGACCGGCTCGTGCTGACCAGAATATGTCCCCGAAGGTTCTGAAGTGGAGGACAACGACGGAGTCGACGTTCCAGATGGAAAAAGAGCCAAAAGTCCACCCGCCTCCCAGGAGGACCTCGTTTCCTCACAGCCCTCCTCCTCTCAGGAGAAACTCTTCAGCTCTGACTCCCAGCCTTCGACCTCCTACTCCTCGTACGACTCCCAGGAGCTGGTGCCGCCTGAGCTGGAGCGCAGCGTGTCGACCGAGTCCCGGCTGCCGGACTCGTGCCTGGACCCCTGCCTCATCTGTCAGTCCCGGCCGAAGAACGGCTGCATCGTCCACGGGAACACGGGACACCTGATGGCCTGCTACGTGTGCGCCCGCAAGCTGAAGAGGAGGAACAAGATGTGTCCCGTGTGCAGGATGCCCATCCAGCAGGTGGTCCTCACCTACCTCTGCTGAGGCGCTGCTGAGGCGCTGCTGAGGCGCTGCTGAGGCGCCGCTGAGGCCTCGGCCTCACCTACCTCACGGGGGGGGGGGGGGGGTGTTTGAAGTTCTTTAATCTGGAGGATTGTTTGTTTGGAGCCAGGATCAGTTTTAAAATGTACTTCCATCTTGAACACAACTCGTATGTTATCTTTGTTTATGGGTTTGGATCGTGAAGCTTTAAATCTTATAAACTCTTACGGTGTGCAATCCAAGCTTCTTTTTTTTAAATGAGAAATTAGTTTTGTTAATTATTTACTGGTAATGAATGTATTCGGATGCTTGTAAGTTTTTATTTTTTACATGACTAGCGTCACTTTTTCTCCAGACAAGTTTCACAGAAGTTAATTATTAAAATTAAAACTGCATCTTATTTAATATTTTGTCAGATTGTTAAATAACATGTTTATTGAGATTTGTGATGTTTCATATCATTTTGTGTGAAAATTAAACGTGTTGAAACTGAAGATAAATGTGGTTTTCAGAGGGTTTGGAACTACAGTTCCCACAATGCTTCACAGCATTAATAGGAAATGGTGTTTCTTCTTATGATGAAATCAGCAAAACTTTGGTCAATAATCCAACAATGTTGAGACCCGACTCCACGTTGTTGGATTATTGAGCATGGACTTTGGCTAAAAATGTTTATGGCATTTGTAACTTGAATATTTTGAAACGAGAAAAGTAAAATAGGGGCGACTGAGCTGCAGGAAATAAAAATAAAAGTGGAGTTTTAAATGAAGGGCGATGTGGGGAGCCACAGAGAACTAATTTAAAGAGCTTCATCAATGACATCATTCAGGCTTTAAGGAAAAGGAAACTGGTTTTGCTCACCTGTTCATGTTAGCAAAATATCAAACCAGTGACTGGCTTTATTGAAACTCCTTTAACGCACGAGTCAGCCCAGTTCAAGATGGCAGCCACAGCTAGTCGACCTGAGGAAACTCAAATCGCCACAACTCGGTCGGTTTCACAGATTTTGAGCCAAAACTCGGTGAGGTAGCTGAGAGTCATCCCCAGAGAACCAACGGACGTCCAGGAAATTTTTACAAATAACAGGAATAAACGTTGGCTCAATATATATAAAATATATTAGTTAATACATTTAGTTCCACCTAATGCAGTTTTTCTAAAACCCTAAATTCTGTTTGTTCAATAAATAGTTTTGTTAAATCTTATAAATTGATTCTGTTTGTAGAAACTTAAAGGAAAAACGTTGCAAATATTTGAGTTGTGATTAAATAAAATGTTTATTTTGCATCACACAACTGGCTGAATTTTGTTTGTGTTAAAATAAACACCAGCTGGGTAAATAAACAAACATGACTGAAACAATAATCTATGATTCTGCAGAAATTAAAGTTGTGACGTGTCGGAGCTCAGACGTCGAGTTGAGGACGACTCTGGGCTACAACCACACCGAGCTGTAGCTCATCTGTAAAACGTACTGGGACCACCAGCATCCTGAAGATGCAGTAGCTGCTCCAGAGCTCAGATGTTTGGCGTCTACGACACGACGCACAAACCAACGAGGCAAGCGAACAGTTCAGCACGAGCGCAGAACACTTTCCCTTTACAGAGTCGGTTTCTGGCTCCGGACACGAGCGGTCCGTTCCAGGAAGAGGGTCAGGGACTGAGACACTGCTCACTCTAGATCGGCAGAACTTCTGAAGTCACTTCGAGAGAGGCCGAGGAGTTTTCACAGGCCTTGGAAAATAATCCAGCCTCGTTCTATGAGCCAATCAGAAAGAACAAAACGGATTATTCAGGCAAGCCTCTGTTGAACCATCACAGCAGATGTTGCTAAAGGAGGATCGTCAGCTGTTCTCATAGCTGCACATCTGTCAGAGAGTGATCTGCAGGCGGTCGTCCAACATGAGAACCAGCTGCACGAGTGAAGGTGGACGGAGGTTCACGTGTCAAGTCTCAGCTGACCTCCATCCTTCAGCCCAACAGACCATAAGCAGATGTTCTGACTGTGGGTCAGCTTTGGTCCATGCCCTGCCACCAAAGACAGGAAAGACCTTTGAGGACTCTGGACTTCCTGCCATCAGTCCAGTTTTTGATGAACCACCATTCAGCCTCAAAGCCAGACCGTCCCAACGTGAGCACAGAAACAGCACTCCGTCCAACTGCTGCAACTTTTAGGCATTAATGGCGAGACAAAAACTTTATCATTCGCCTTCACTTTTTTGGCAGCAAGAGACATTTGTGACAGCAAAAAAAAACCAAAAAAAAATTATTTAAGAAAGGTTTTCACTTCTATTCCCAGTTTTTAATTTAAAAATTCTTACCTATTTTATTCGGTTTGTTTATGTTTGCTAAATTATTAAGCTTAAACTATAGAAAATCAAGTCTCAGTTTTTAAATAAATTAATGAGTTTCATTACGGGGGTACTTTTTTCAACACAACACCTACTGGATGCAACATTTACTGAAATGTAACGGCTTTTTTTTTTTTGTTTTGTCAGTTTCGTCTTGTATTATTTAGTGTTTTTGATTGAATTAACGAATATGTCTACTATGTTTTATTTGTCTTCAGCATGTGTGTTGTTTACACCACTTCCGGGTTTTACACCTCGAATGCTACTTAGCTTAGCATCTCTAACTGGCTAAACTGGAAACATGGCATTTACAGATCCTTCACCAGCTTGGTTTAAATACCTCTCAAAGTGGATTCATTAGATTATTTACTTACCTTTTAAATGAACTTTGCTTGTACTCAAGATAAACGTCGGTTTTTAACGTTAATTAACGGTAATTTGACACCGGTGGGCGCTTCGAGCTATGGCGGGAAATTAAGAAAAAAATGGTATGACCGACTTTAGGGGTGTTTAAAAACCAAATTCAAGATCATCTTTATCTAAATGTGTACATTGTTGCAATGCATGCATTATCACGAGTGAAACACAATATTACAAAATGTTTTTATTCAAATTAAGGAGATTCAAGTCTAAAATGGGAGAGTCGACCACCCCTTCAGTTGGGACAATCCAGACGAGACCGGAAACTGCAACATTTTACTGTTTTTTTTTTTACACATTTAATCTCAATTTAATCCCAGGATCTAAAAGTTTTATATCAACTCATGGTTTATTAATCATTTGTACCATCACTTGGAACACAAGAGTCAAAATAAAACCAAATAAGTCTTTTTTTAATATAAAACATATTTTATTGGATAATTTGAATTTCCTACATGTGGATTTTCTGCCCTTTTCCACAGAAGAGTCACAGATTTGGGCTTCAGTCCAGTCCGGACCAGCTCTGATCCCTGCTGGGGTCATTTTCAGTCCACGTCAGTCTCAAAACCGGGCCCATCCAAACCATTTATCTCGAGGCATTTTAAGAATAAAACAAGTACCACAGGGAGATTTCTGCAAAAATAAAACATGTGCCTCGAACATTTATTGTGACAGTTTCACATCACACAAACAAAACTTCTTTCTGTACCTAGCAAACACTTGATCCCATTTTCACTTCTGTTTAATAACCAATTTGCAGATTTAGTTTTACTGCAGTTATCAACAAGACTCATCTTTTCATTTGTGCACAAAATGTAATTCAACCAGCAGGAATCCTGCATGACGATCAAACTGATCAGGAATTTCTCAACAATAAACCAGATTAAGAAAAGCAGAATGTTCTTTTGCTACGAAAAGAAAAAAATACTTAATGATTTTCTTTAAGTTGCATAAAATTACCAGAGTGTGGCGGTGTTGGTTACTGTAAGTGTGGCAATTACAAGAACCGCCTGAAAACTAACATTTAAAAGCTGAAGTGTTCAACACAAGTAAAAAAATCAGATTGTCATGTTTTTGTTGTCAGAAATCCCGTTTTGATCACGTGAGTAAACTAACGCAACTGTGAAACAGAACTTTAATTTAAATCAACGTTTCTTATAAACAGAGTGACTCGACAGAAAGCCCAGGTTCTCAATCGTTCAGCGAGGCCAGCTGAGACTATTTTAGTCTAAATGTTTGTTTTCAGACGTGATAAGACTCAAGTGATAACAGGTCAGCAGAGAAAATGCGGCTGAAATGAGGCAGGGGTCCTTGTGAACGGACTTTGATGTCTGCAGATCTGCAGTGAGTAGGGAGCAGGTGGAAGAGAGCCTGGAGAGGTGGAGAACTGCTCTGGGATGAAGACATTAAGTTTTTTTTGGGACAAACATAAGATTAGAAATGAGAAATCAGAGACATCTCAGGTTTGGAGACAAAATATATTGAGATTGTTCGGACACGTACAGAGGAGGATGCTGGGATACGATGATGGAGGCAGATGGTCCACAAATCTTTAAAGAAGCAACTGAAGGAAGAAGGAAAATTTGTTTTTATTCTTCTTCAAGTTTTACTTTCAGTCGGCGACTTACGTTTTGATTTTTATGAAGCCCACAGCGCCTCCTCCTGACAACTCACTAAAGTCATGAAAGTTTATTTCCAACAATTCCAAAAACATTTACCATGTTTTTCGACTATAAGGCGCATTTAAAATACCTTTTGTCAACAGTGAGCCTGATAATCAGGTGCACCTTTTGTGTTCATTCTGGTTGTGCTTACGGACCTTCAACCAGTTTTATGTGGTTATTGTGAACGAGTTGAATAAAGTTCGACTTGTCCGTTTTGTTTCACTTAATGCGCCTTACAGTCCGAAAAATACGGTACTTTGTTTTTCTGATTCAACCCCCAGAACCCGCTGACGGGCGACTCCATGGTGGGCTCTTTCAGATTCCCTTCAGCTCTTTAAGGCACTCGCTGGCGGCAAAGAGAAGGCAGAACGAAGCGATCGTCGGCAGAGGAAACATCAGCGAGCTCAGATTCAAACTTCTGTCAGCGAAACAAAAAGCCCCAAACATCAAACACAGCCCAACTATTTTTCTTTTTTTAAACATCCGGAAACATCCGAACGTCACGTGACGGCAGCAAAAGTTCACATTTGAATACGTTTTGTATAAAAGTACCGCACACTTACTTCTGGTCAACATACATTACACGCAACACTTAGTTCAGTTATTTGGCACCGAAGCAGCTGTTTAACAAAGCTGCAGAGACAAAAAGCAGCGAGCTCTCATCAGTTTATGTTTCTGAACGTTTTTTTATTTATTTTCTGATTCTTGTCAGAGAGATATTTATTGCACCACAGTTTGTAGAACTAATAAAAATTAAAAAATGATTCAAACCGTCTGGGCTTAAGTGGGAAAACAGGATTTTTAGGTGTTGATGAACATTAAACTTTATAAAAAGATTTTAAAAATCAGAAAAAGTGAAATAAAAAAATTGTGTTATTTTTTCTTTTATATGACACGTCTCTGTTCAAGATGCATTATGTTTTTATTCAATCATTCTTGCACAAAATAGCCCCTAAAAATCATTACTCTGATCAAAAATGTTAAAAACTACAAAATTTATATATTTAAGGTCGTCTAATTTCCTGGAAAAAAAGTTCAAAAGTTATAAAATTAGTCTTAAAGTGTGCAATATTAGTGATTAAATGCAACTTTTCAATTTTAAATTTGAACATTCAGGAAAACTGGGCGGAGTCTGATCAGGCCACTCAAGCTGACCAATCAGAGCAGACTGAGATTTTGAGGGGCGGGGCATTTATGTTACAGATTTTCTTTAAATTTCTTGATAAAAATGACTTTCTATAAATCAGAACTTTTTCTCTGATTCTGTGCGTTAATTTTGTTTTAAATATATATATATTTTAATGTGAATGAATGATTTATAACACCTTTGTTATCTTTCTGCTTTGGTTTGTGTTTCAATTACTGATTTGTGTTTAAAAGACTAATCATGTTGTGTTCTTTTATTTGAGTCACAATATGAACTTGTGTTTAATAAAAAAAAACCATTTAAATGTAAAACTATTTTGACGCAGATTTATTTATAAGGATTTGTTTCCACTTTGTACCTCGTTTGGCATTTATTGAACATTTTTAAACATATTTTTGGCGTTTTACACTTTGTGCCCTGAACCGGTTTTAAAGAAAACTATTTATTCACGTTTTAGTCCCAAAGGATCTCAGTAAAGTCTCAATTTATTTTATGGTTAGTTTGAGTTGAGCGGTCACCAAACGCTCCCAGTTTAAATTACTTTTGAACTGAATTATCCAAAGTTTGATTCTCTTCGATCAGAACAAACAAACGTTTTATTAATTCACATCATTTCCCGTCCTCACGGCACATTAAATAAATACGACGCATTAATGAGTTTTATTTGAATTATCGGAGTCGTTTTAGTCAAACTTGTGAAACTTCTATCTTTAAAGCAGAAACTCGTTTCATTTGAAGCTTCTTCAAACTGAGCTGATTATTTTCAGTGGTTTGAAATCTAAACGACAGGAACCAAAGCCGGGTCAGAACCAGGATGAAGGTGATGAACGTCAGCGGTTTGGACCTCATGATTGTTGGGATGGACGTGATTCTGATCAGGTCCGAGAACAAGAACGTTGTGGTGTCACGTTAAATACTGAGCGGGTCGAGATCCGCCGTGGCCCGAGCTGTTCTCAGGTCAGTGCTTCGTGCCGCCGCGGACCGTTCAGAACGGGCCGCTTCGATCCGAACATCCAGAGGAAATGGTTCCATCACTTCCTGTCGGTTCCTTGAAGCTAAAGTTTTGGATTTTCGTTCGTCAGAACGAAGTCAGAGGAGTTCACAAACAAAAGAAACCTCACGGAGCTCCAGCTGATTCCTCCATGTTCCTTCAGCTGGACCAGAACCTCGGTTCTGTTGGTTCTGTGGCTCCTTCAGCTGCGTGTTCTTTAGTCCTTAAACGATTAAACATTCAGAAAGCTTCAGCCGCTCGTCTTCCTTTGAGTCCTTGCGTAGAAAAAAAAAAAATTGAAAGCCCCGCCCCCTCCGTCCTCACGGGGTCAAAGGTCGGTGGTTTTGTGCTCCAGGGCGGCGGCGACCTGCTGGAGGCGGACCGTGAGCTGTTTGTTCTGAGCGGCCGGGTCTTCGTCCAGCGACTGGATGATCTGAGGAAGAGGAGGAAAAATAGATTTTATTAAAATTCATCAGATTTGGTGATTTAAAATAATCAGGATCAAAGTGCGCATGCCGCCACCTAGTGGCCAAAACTAAAAAAAACAGCTTCTGATGATTGAAGCCAATAAAATCTGGATTTAGACTCTGTTCACAAAATGAATACTGTAATATTATATTATAATAAAATGAGTGAGCTGCTTGTATTTCTGAAAATTAAACCTGGATATTATTAAAGCAAAAAAATAAATGTTGGTTACTCACGGCATCGAAGTACTTGCTGGCGTACTGGTACAGCTGATGCAAGGCCACCTGGGTGTTCAGCTTCTCCGTGTGTTGCTACAAAAAACGGTTTAAAATAATTTAGGTCAGAAACTCGTTTAATCTGCTCTACAAAACAAAACAAACTGCTTGTAAATATCTGAAAAGTTTGTTTTAAAAATAACTGTGGGACACAAAAACTGAAGAAAAAAAACTTTTGTTGTTAAGTTTTTAAAGGATATTTTATATAATAGGTTTCTGTGAACCGATGATAAACAGTATCTTACCTGTTGTAGAAAGCTCTTTGAACAAGCCTGAAAAAGGCTGTTTTGTTTGAACAGAGGTTTTTCAAAGAGCTTTCTACAACAGGTAAGATAGTGATAGTTCATAACTTTTCCACAGAACCACACTTTAAAACATCTACCGGTAAATTAAAACTCTAAAATTAAAACTAAAACTAGTTAAAAGGAGTAAACAGACCATAATATGTGTCTGACAGAGTGCTTTGATTTGGAAGCTCTTTGAAGCTTTTTATCTGTAATCTACATTTGTCTTTAATGCATCCGAAGATAAAACCCGTTACGGTGGTTTGCTGGAGGCTGAGTCCTGGTTTTACCAACACAAAGAGACTCGTACCCGGGACACCTCGGCCAGGTGTGTGTTCATGTCCTGGTCACTGACTGGAACCATCTGGCTGATGCCCGTGTAGTAACTGTGGACACAGCGGATAAGAAACGATTCATTTGTGAAGTTCTGTATTCACGGCCTGAACGTGCCGCTCTGTAAACACTCACTCGTCAACCATCTTCTTATACGTGGAAATCTCTTTTGCGTAGAGCAGCTTGTTGCTCGGAGACTCCTGGAGTCGGAAACAAAAGGAACAAATTAGACGCCGGCGTTAACCCCGTCAGGTTTTCAGCTCGCAGCTCTTTGGGGAAATGGCCGCCGCTCGGTTGAACTGACCCTGCTGAGTTTGTGCTCCGTCTTGGTGCAGGCGTCCATGAAGGTCTGAGCGATGACGTGCAGCGACGCGTCCACCACCTCGGTCACGTGGACGTCGAAGATGAAGTGAGGATTTCTAAGGATGTTCACCCAAAACCGCATCGGCAAGCTGCAGACACGCCAAAAAAGATCACAAATCAAGATTCGGCCTGTCGCGATAAACAATAAACCAAGAGAGAGACAGCCCACGTCACGTCAAGGGGCCTCCCTCCCATTTTCTTAAAGACACACGCTGCTCGCTCCCTTCCAGCGTGTCCTGAGTCTTCCCCTGGGTCTCCTCCCAGTTGGACATGCCCGAAGCACCTCCATAGGGAGGCACCCAGGAAGCACCCTTACCAGAGTTCATGACCAGAGGTGAGGGCAGGAACGTAGACCGACCAATGAACGGAGAGCTGTGCCTTACAGCTCTCTCTTCACCACAACGGACCAGCACAGAGTCCACAATACTGCAGACGCTGCATCAATCTATCTGTCAATCTCTCGCTCCATTCTTCCCTCACTCGTGACCAAAACCCAGAGACACTTGAACTCCTCCACTTGAGGCAGAACTTCACCCTCGACCTGAAGAGAACAATCCACCCTTTTCTGACAGAGGAGCTTGTTTTGAAATAAGCTGAAGATAATGGAGGGATGGGTTTATAATTATTTATTAAGCAATTTACAAGCAATATCAGAAGATTTTTCCAACTCGGTGTTTGTTTTATTCCTCATTTTATTTATTTTTTGAGAAAGCGACGAGGTCACCGTCCTTTTTCTGAGCATTTTATCTGGTTTTGAAACACCCGTTTTATTTTGGACATATCGATGCCATGAATGCACTGAATGCTGCAGCAGCTCGTAGCACAAGACAAGTTTTCATGTTGGTTGATAAAGTACATTTTATTTTTGGATTTCCATCTTTAAACATTTAGCTGTTCGACGTTTCCGTCTAAAAAAACGTGTTTTTAATCAGCTGGATGTGGAGACCTGAACAAGAGTTTATTAAAAAACCCTGAAGCCAACACGGGACGCCAACATCAGAATAACTTCAGATAAAAGAGCTAAAAACATTAAAGCTGGTGTCGAGCTGTGTGGATAGCACAAAAAGTTCAAAGCTAATAATGAAGATCTGGGTTAACAGCCGTGGTAACGTTTAGCTTCCATCTTTGCTGACGCACCTTTTACTTCCTCCAACCTTTCATCTCTTCCTCCCCGATCACAACCGTCATCAATAATTCACCACGGCTGATGAATATTTCATCCCGTTAGCGTGAGTTCTTCATGATTGACAGATTCGGCTCGGGGTCAGAGAGAAAACAGAGCAGCGATCTCTCCGTCCGTCCGTTTCTGCTCCGTCGTCATTTATCCGACTCGTCAACAGTCGAGCGATTAACGGAGGTTTTCGTGCGGCCGGCTGCCTGCGCCGACACGACTTCGCTCCAGCTGGGCTGATGAAACGGCAAACGCACGGAAGCAGAGGTTTGTACAGCAGGATGGCAGTTTGCAGCTTTGAAGAGAAGCAGGACTGAACTGGTTCAGGAGCCACAAAATCAGGAGGTTTGAGGGAAAACCCGCATCAGATGGTCTGAGGGACGCTGCGAGGTTCAGTCCCACCTCAAGATACAACTTGTCTTTTTGTTTGTCTCTTGTTATGGAGCGAAAACGGGAATTGGAAATACCCTCGGTCTGTTTGTGAGCTGCATAACTTCAAAAATAAAGTGAGATACCGACTTCCATGTTGGTGGGTGGCTGCATGTACACATAAGAAAGGTCACTACTGAAAACTGGGTTGTTACATTGAATTCAAGATGGCCGCCACCATATAATTATGTAAACCGACCACTCCTATTGTTTCAATTTTATATTGTCTCAAAGTACAATTTGCTCAAATGATTGGCCTAAGATTAATTTATGGGGGGCATGGCCACCATTGGCCACCCCCTGGCTCCATCATTGAGTCTGGTGGTGGCCTCGGTTCTTCACAGTGCATCTCCTCACTTGAATATCTTCCAGGAAAACATGAAGTCCTGATGAACACCATGGACTCTGTGGACAAGGTGAGGGATGTCGTCATGGAGACTGATGAAACAGTGGTCTCTTCTGACGTCACATGACTCTTTACTTCCTGTTGATGATGCAGTAGAGGTGGTCTAAGGTTCAAATCAGACACCACTCTGAGCAGCAGGACCACGCTTTCCACTGAGCCACTGTGTCAACTCTTGAACCTGTGCCTGCAGTCAACCTAAGGGGGGGCAACATGACAGGCAGAACCATGGGGGTGCTGTGGGGTGTCCAGTTTCTCCCATCGTAGCCAACCTGGCGTCCTTCTCAGGGACACCACCAAGTCATTGGTTCAGGTATGTTGACGACACCTGGGTTCAAATCAAATCTCAGGAAGTCCAACATTTTACTGACCACATCAACTCTGTGGATAAATACATCAAGTTCACACGAGAAGATGAAAAAAATGGCAAGTTGGTTTTCTTGGACTGTGAGGTCTCAGTCTCTGATAGAGGACAAACCACAAACCCCCCCACACAGACCAGTATCTGCAGTTTGACTCCCATCAGCCTCTGGAGCACGAGTTGGGAGTCATCAGGACTCTGTACCACAGAGCAGACGGCAGAAATACTACAAACGACCTAAAAAGCAGAACATTATTGTTCTGCATGCTGATCGTAACTCCTTCAACTAAACTCAACCAACTTTTTAAAAGTTGTACAGTTTCAACATTTATCAACTTTGACAGGAAGTTCTTTAGATCCGAGGCGTTGGACACGGAGCAGGAAGCGATACTGAACGTTTCAGATCGTTCTGAAAACTCTTGAAATAAAAGCGTCGGTCTGTTCCGACGAAACATCTGGAAACATCTGGACAAAAAGAGCATCATTCAGGGAGTGCCTCTGCTGCGCACCTGTTGGTCTTCCAGATGTGCAGCGTCTCCTCGTCCACGTTGTCGTGCCTCTGCGCCTGCTCGTCCAAGAAGTCGAAGAAGTATTTGACGGCGGGCGGGACGACGGAGCTCGAGCACAGGACGCTGCGGAAGAAATCGTCCACGAACTGCTGCAACGTGCCCTGAGGACCGAAAACACACAAACGGTCACGCTGCGTCAGGAAAACGTGCACGGAGCCTTCGGAGCGGGTCGTCTGCACCTTGACGGACAGCAGGCGCGTCAGGTAGATCTCCGTGATGGCTTTGGTCATGGCCTTGTCCTTCATGCTGCCTCGCTTGGACTTCACCTCGTCGAGCTCGTCCGTCGGCCTCACCAGGTGGAAGGTGTTGTCGTCCTCCAGGAGCGCGTTCTCTGCACGAGACAGCCGACGTTAGCGCTCGCTGACCAGATGTTTAGAAAGCCCTGAACTGTGAGTGGAGCCGGTCGAGCTCCGGTTCTCATCGTTTAAAAACAAAATAAACGACGAGCTTTGATTCAAGATGGCCACCAGAGCCAAGTCCCTCGAGATACGACTCTCAGCAACCACCGCACCAAGTTCTAGCTCAACATCTGTAAACTGAGTGTGCTCAAGTCCATTATTTATTTTAGCTGAGGATGAGTAGCCTTGGCGGCCATCTTGAATCAGTAATGATTTCATGAAAATGCATCCAGTGCCTCCAGAGATATTTTGCTAACGCTGCAGTCAAAACAGAAAAGGTGTGGACGTACTCTCATCGTGGCTGTCCTGGTGCTGGTGGAACGACTGCGCGTGCAGAACTCTGGACAGAACCAACGTGGCGTTGTCCCGAACCTGCAACACAGAGCGGGTCAAACAAGTTCACATCAATATTTTTATGATTTTAAGGATTTTCTCCAAACGTCAGGAGGACTCGAACTCCTGGTCGGTTTCCATAGAAACGAGAGTCCTTCCACGTGTCGACGCTCCTCGACGAAAACGTCTCGGATGAAAATGAAGCCGAGTGAAAACAGCAGGACGGAAAAACGAAGACGCCGCCGCTTTCAAACGTCCCGAAACTCTGACCATGATCAGGACAAATCAGCTGATCCTTCTGCCTCCAGAACGTTTTAGACGTGTTGTCGAGTTAAAATGACCTTCTTTATTTAAAAAAAAACAAAAAAACAAAAACAACTTTTGTCGTGGGGGGGGGTCTCTTAAGAAATGTCAAATAAAATAAAACAAGAGTAAACATTCCTCACGGCGTTCTGACGGTAAACAAGTTGCAGAAACTAAACCAACTTCTTTCGTCTGTCCCCTCCATTATTTATTTCTGTCTTTCTGGAGCTGTTGATTCACATGTGGGTCACATGTTCACATGTGGGTCACATGTTCACATGTGGGTCACATGTTCACATGTGGGTCACATGTTCACGTGACTTACAACAGCAGCTTATTACTTTTACTAAATAAATCAAACCATAAAACTCTAAGAACAGGACGCTAAACGTCCGAGTTACACAAAAATAAAACCCAAATGGAAAAATCAGTCCCGTTCACGAGCGCGGGGGTTCCTATCAACCTTTATTTAGACAGTAAATCCCATTGAGCCTTGAGGACTCATTTACAAGAGAGACCTGATAAAGGTCCTAAAGGTCGTTTAGAACGAAGACGGATTGAATTTGGTTTAAATTTATTTCTGCGGTCGCTGAATAATCGACACGGACCTGAGGCAGATTTACAAGAAATTAAAGCTTTAAATAAAAAAACACGATAAATAAATCAGTTAAATCAAATAATGTTCTTCAGACACTGAACTATTGTGGAGTCTCTCACTTTAAATCAAAGATCTGATCAGAGATCTGTTATAGATCTGTTATAGATCTGCTATAGATCTGATCAGAGATCTGTTATAGATCTGGTCAAAGATCTGCTATAGATCTGTTATATATCTGCTATAGATCTGCTATATATCTGCTATAGATCTGTTATAGATCTGCTATAGAGCTGCTATATATCTGCTATAGAGCTGCTATATATCTGTTATATATCTGTTATATATCTGCTATATATCTGCTATAGCTCTGCTATAGATCTGTTATAGATCTGCTATAGAGCTGCTATATATCTGTTATATATCTGCTATAGCTCTGCTATAGATCTGCTATAGCTCTGCTATAGATCTGCTATAGATCTGCTATAGAGCTGCTATATATCTGTTATATATCTGCTATATATCTGCTATAGATCTGTTATAGATCTGCTATAGCTCTGTTATATATCTGCTATAGATCTGTTATATATCTGTTATAGATCTGCTATAGCTCTGTTATAGATCTGCTATAGCTCTGTTATATATCTGCTATAGCTCTGTTATATATCTGCTATAGATCTGCTATAGATCTGCAATATATCTGTTATCTATCTGCTATAGATCTGCTATAGATCTGTTATATATCTGCTATAGATCTGCTATAGATCTGCTATAGATCTGTTATAGATCTGTTATCTGTTACTGCTGCCATCTACAAACAGCGCTTACTTTGAGTAATTATTAAATAAAAATGGGACTCGAGGGTTAAACCCCGCCCACTTTGGGACATGTGGGATTGCTCAACATTAAGTTTTACATTCTGGGTTTTACAATAATCCAGATTTTATAATGAAAATAATAAAATAATCCCACTTTCTCATGTTTTCCTCATTTGTAGAAACTCTTCAGAGGAATCTGAGTCTACAGCTCCCCGGCTCGGTAAACTGGACTAGGCCCATTTAAACCGGCGCCACAGCAGGAGGCGGGGCTTAACTCGCCTCTCTGTGCTGCACAGGTGAAGGTGTGAAACAGGTGCGGGGGGCGGCGCAGCAGCAGAACTCACGTTGTAATGAGCCAGTGTGTTGAGTCTCCTCCAGCGTCCTTCTTTCTGTGTGGTGAGGTCCAGGTCGGACAGGATCTGACCCGTGGAGCCGGGTCGCCACTCTGTGGACGGACAAGGAAACAAACTTTAACCTTCGCCGCTCTGCGGCCACGTGCCCTCGCTCGCCGCTCGGAGGTAAATAGTTTTGTTTACAAACTGATAAACTGTGTGTTTGTGTCACCGAGTGCGACGTTCTCCACTTTGGGTCTCTGAGAGTACGGCAGGTTCCGGTAGACCTGGTCGATGATCTTCTCCTTCACCTGGGGGGCAGAAAACAACAGATTCAGCACCCGGACAGTACACCACAGGACAGAACGCTGCTGCTGGAGGACGAGCAGGTGGACCGGGTCAGACCCACCTGGGTGATGGTGTCGCAGTTCAACACTTTAACCGGAGTGACGTCGGGTCCCTCCCCGTGGACCAGAACCTGCAGAGTCTGACAGAAGGACCACGTTGAGATCTGCCGTCATCTTTCACATGACTCAAACAAAGAAGCCTTGTTTGTTCTGTTCTGCGTCTGTTTGTTGCTCCATTTGACACATTTAATCCCAGAGATCATGTTTTAAGTGAACTGAAGGACTGAGTGGTTCAGAGATGATCTACAGCAGATACAGGAGGACGACGCCTGTGTGTGTGTTCTGCAGCTTGTTACACGTTCACAGCATTACGGGGACGACGGGGACCGAAGAAGCTTTTCTAAACGTTCGCATCAGATGAAACTCAGAGGATTAAGAGTCTGCTGCAAAACGGCTCAGCCTTTCTTCAAGGAGCAGAAGAAAGATTAGACCAGGGGTGTCCAGATGTTTTCATCATGGAGCTCCTTTTAAAAGGACCAGGTCAAAGTGATCTACCTGCTGTAAGACCCCGTTTACACGAGAACAACCTATTAAAACTTAAGTGTTTTTTTAATGTTTATTGGGCTAATAAACAAAAATGAGCAAGTTTACATGAAAACACTATAATTTTCACGTCTGTCAGGTTGCCAGATAAGAAATGATGAACTATAGAACTGTGGCTTTAAATTGACAGTATTTTGAGCTAAACTGTCGTAAGTGCCAAGTAAAGATGTTCTAAGATGAGGCGTGTGTTGTGTTTGTTGAACATGTGCACAGAAAAGGAGGGGGTAAACAAAACATGTTACATTGATCTGGCAACCCTCATCACCCACGCACAGATGATCTGAGATGATCTGAGACGATCTGAGATGATCTGAGATGATCTGAGATGGACGTATTGGGCACCTCTGTAGTAAATGAGGTCAAATCCTGCAACAGGCTGCAGAACCTTAATGGAGGACCGAGGAGCAGCCGTGGACAAGGCAGGAAATTAAAGTGAAGCCACAGAGCAGCTGCTGCCACATGTTCCATCGATGGTCATAAACTCATGTTCATATCTTACGAGCTGCAGATAAACACATTCAAGACTCTCAGATCAACAGATCCCTCTGATCTGCTTGAAGATGTTAAATCCGTTTGTTTCTTGCAGAACTCGCCTGCATCGTATGATTCACTGTTTTTACCACTGAGCTGTGAGCTCTGAAGTTTTTAGACTTTTCTCAAAGTTCTGCGACTCAGAATCTGTTGAAGCGTGTCGTGTCAGAAACCTGCAGCGCCTGCGTGCACTAACCAGCACGGAGTACTCCACATCGTCTCCCAGCAGCCCCGTGTCGTTCAGCGTGTACTTGGCTTTCTTCAGCTTGGCGTCCACCGGGCCCTTCTCCACCTGGTGCTTCAAGGCCTTGAAGAGTTTGTATAAAGGTTCTCCAGCCGTGTCCTGGACAGGAAGTCAAACCAGACAGACGCGTTCACGATCCGCCACAACGCAAACGTTACACACACAGACTTAGGTTATGAATAGTAAACAGCTCACCTGCTCTTTGAACACACGGTTAAAAACAAAAAGTTAAAGCAGACTGATGAGCCAACAGTCCAAACACTTACAAAAACTTTTAAACTGTTTATTACCTGCAACTAAAAATTAATTACTATTACCTATTGTTGGCTACTACTACTACCAATTAATACTTCCTAATATTAACCTAATATTACAGTTTGTTAACGACAACCTACCACCATAACTTATTAATACCCACTATTGCTACTATTTACTTATTTAACTCATAGTTACCAACTATTATACCAATTAACTATCGTTTAAATACTATTACAATCTGCACCTATTGATACCTGCTTTAACTACCAACTAGTACTTATTACTACCCAATATCACCTATTAATATCAACCATTACTAACAAATACCTATTAATTAGGGATGCACAATACTATTGGCATCAGCCGATAGTAAAGTTTAATATAGGAAATCAGCCATTCCAGCAAAATAAATCACAGATATAAAAGGTGCTCCATCCATCCATCCATCCATCCAGATAGATATGGATTAACTTTTAATAATTACCTTTGTATCTTTAAAAAAAGTTAAAAGCAATGATTGACGTGGTTTAAAATTACGTGTTTTTCCAATGAAAATGATGAAAATTACAATTTGGTTTAAATTTAAAGTCGTTTCTGTGGCTCGTTTTCTGAATTTCACTCTTTTTATTCATGTCAGGACCTAAAGAAGATAATTTTATCAACCTGATGTAAAGTAAAAACGTGAAACTTGGTTTGGAGCTGCAGGGTAAAACCCAAACACCGACAGAAAAACGAGCGGCGTTCTGACACAGAAACATTTTTAGTCCGTCACGAATGGAAGAAAACACGGTTTTGTTACCCGCAGGAACTGGTACAAGCAGATGGACATCCAGTTGCACAGCATCCTCTCCACCACCGTCTCTGACCTGCAGCCAACAGAACACAGTCAATCTGTGCAGACACCTGGAAACCTCTTTCACTCCAACTTGTAAAGGCGTCGTGCACGTTCGACACGCTGCAGGAGGCTTGGGCTCAGATCCAAACGAGCTCAACTGAATGGTTTAACAGCCAGCGGTCGTGTCCGCCCTCACCTCCTCAGCATCAGTTTGGGGTTTTTGCTCTGCACGTGCTCGTTCATCAGCTCCAGCAGCAGCGTCCTCATGATGTCCGTGTAGTACTCCAGCTTGCCGTGCAGCGCCACCGTCAGCAGGGAGGCGAAATACCCGCGGGACCGGGCGTTGAAGTCGGAGCGACCCTCCAACGTGCGGATGAACTGGAAACGAAAATGAAAAGTTTACGTGAAGTTAAAGGGAACGATGTGAGCAGGAGCCCGATGTGAGCAGGAGCCCGATGTGAGCAGGAGCCCGACGCTCACGTTGATGAGGAACGTCTTGCTGTTCAGCAGGTTGGAGAACTGGTTCAGGGCCTGAGCCACGTTGGCCCGCCGGCCCTCGGTGATCTGGATCCTTCCGGTGATCATGGGGTCGTTGGCGCCCTCTTTGGACGGCAGGAAGAAGTTCCTGTCGGTGTAGGTTTTGTAGTCCAGGAAGGGGATCCGGCCTTCGCTCAGATCGCTGGTGTGGTCCTCCATTTCTATCATCAGATCTGTAAAATAAAAAAGATGTCGGCACGTTAGAGGAGCTCAGCTGCGACTGTTGGACGATGGTTGGAATCTCAGACACTAAATGTCTGAAAGTTTCTGCGGAAGCCTCGAAAATCTAAAATGTCCTTTGGAGATAAATCAAGTCTGAATGTGAGAATTGGAGCGTTTCCAGTGAAGCGACCAGAAGCCGTGCAGCCGCTTCTTTGAGGGGCTGGTTTCTGACGATGGTGGACTGGTTTCACGTGCGTGCACAATGTTCTGGTGTCCTCCCACCTCCACCCGTCTTACACCTGCAGCTGCCCATGGGAGCAGGATTGTGGTCCAGCGGTGCAACGAGGTCCCCCGTCACTGAGGGATTTGAACAGTGAATGTTTAAGATGAGTGGAATTTAAGAGAAAAATAAATAAATGTTTTTGTTGTGGGGAGGGGGTTACACTGTGGAGAAGAACAGAGTGTTTTTATTTAGCTTCGCTCTGAGTCGCGGAGTGACGGTTGCTGGCGAGTGGAGGGAGCGACTATCCAGCACCAGGTGCAGTGGAGGAGCCAGGGGGTGGTCGATGGTGGCCTTGGCCCCAATAGATTCATCTTCGATCAGCCCAAGGGCCACCCCAGGGGTAGAGACCTTTTCACTCTTCGATGCAGCCACACTCTCAAATGGAAGTACGCTGCTCATTTTTAAGTTATCCAGCTCACGAGTTAAACGTGCACACGTGGAGGCAGCCATCTTGGATTTTGATGTGCAGCCCAGTTTTTGAAAGGAAACTTTCCGACTCCTAGATGTTGCTGCACACCGTAATGGAAGTTGGTACCAGGTTTTAATCACAACACGCACCGACGGTAGTTCGGTCTCTTGGCTCCAGGACGGTGGACAAACCCCCGTCTCTACGGTGAAGACACTACAGAAATGTCTTCCGATCCACTCAGACTTCAGCAACAGAATAAAAACTGCAGCGAGCTTAAAGACAGCTGAAGGCTCAAATCAGGGCTTGATTTTTAAAATAAATAAATCATGACAATAATCCTGTTGTGGGACCACAAGTAGATATCTGAAACTTTAGCTCATATGTAGTCCAACATTTCTTTTGACGTCTTAAAAACTGCAGTCGAGAAGAGAGCAGCATAAATTATTTTCACACTTTTATAAATTTTAGATCTGGACGTCGATCGTAAAAAACGCTTTCTGAATTCTGGTCAGAATGTTTGTTTTGTTCACAGCGAACAAATTAAAGGCCGAGCGTCTCTGAGGAAAACTACCGCCTGCAGCCTTCCTGAACAGTCTGAAACAAGATGGCCGCCACAACCGCGTGTCGGATCATGTGTCGAGGATGACTCTCCGCTACTACCACACACTATTTGATTGTAATTCTGAGTTAAAGCCAGAACTAAATCAATTATAGACGTTTGTCAAATGATTACTTTGTGTTAAAATGAATCCTTTGGTTCATGAGATATTTTGCTAACAGCAGAGCAAAGATGTCACATTATGAACAGCACTCTGAGTGTGTTTTGAGGACGACTCTCAGCTACTACCACACTAAATCTTAGCTCAACAGCTGTAAAATTGACTGTGATAACCATATTTATATTAGCTAAAACTGACTAGCTGTGTCGGCCATCTTGAATGGGGTTGATTTGGAAATATAAACAGCTGTAGAGGTTAAAGTATTGATTACATCCTCAGAGTTTCATTAAAATCAATCCAGTGGTTCATGAGATATTTTGCTAACAGACAAACCAGGGTTGATCCTAACAGTTGAAACAAAAGTTTGAGGTTTGTGCAGTGTGTAGCACTACATGTTTTCAGTGACTCTCAGCTACTACCACAACAAACTTTAACTCAATACGAGAAAAAACAATTGAGTTACAGCTTTGTTTGTGTTTCAAGAGGTTGATTAGCTGTGGCGGCCATCTTGAATGCACTTGACACCAAACTCTGAACAGTTGGAACTTATTTTCTATAAGTTTCATTAAACTCCATCCGGTGGTTTATGAGATATTTTGCTAACAGACAGAGCTGACACCAATAGTTTTTTTTTTTTTCATTTAGCCTTTATTTATCCAGGTTAGTCTCATTGAGCCACGAGAACTCATTTTCAAGAGAGACCTGTTTAGGGAGCACATGGTGGGGGTTAAGGGCCTTGCTCATGGGCCTAGAGTGGGGCGAATGAGGGTGGGGGCAAGTGTGGGTGTTTCACCTACCCCACCCACAATTTTGATGTTGTCGGGGCCGGGGCGTGAACCGGCGATCTTCGGATCACAAGCCCACCTCTCTAACCTCTGCGCCACCACTCCCCCATAGTTAGTGAAGTTCTTGAATCAGTCAGAGCTCAGACTGTGTGTCGCAGATCAGCCTCAGCTACTACCACACTAAGTTTGAGCTCAACATCTGTAAAACTGACTGAGCTATTCGTGTGTTTGATGAGGTCACTTAGCTGTGGCGGCCATATTGAATTGGACTAATTCTAAAGATTACTTCCTGAGTTTTATTCAAATCTGTCCAGACTCAGGAGACATTCTGGACAAAGACGAGTTCAAATCATCGCTCAGCTCTCGCCTCGGTCGTTTAGTCGCAGCTCAGACAGGTGATCTCCGTACCTGTGAACTCCTTCTTGCAGCGATCTCTGACGCTCTCCTCCAGACTCTCCAGCTGATGCTTCACCTTCTCGTACTCCCGCTCCGCCTGCTGACTCTTCCTCCTGCCCCGGAGCAAACGACACTGGGATCAGAAACACGACGACGCGTCGAGCGCCGACCCGTCGGGACGTTTGACCCCACCTGTAGCAGTAGACGGACACGGCGATGAAGAGCAGCATCGGCACGATCACGGCGGGGATGATGATGGCCAGAGGGATGCGGTCAACATCGGGGTAGTACACAGAATCCACGACCCACCTGCCGTAACCGAACTTCACCTGGAAACCAGCAGAGCGGAACAAATCTGTGATTTTCCTCGTTGGGACGAGTTAAACAGGAGCAGATTCCAGGTGAGCGGGTGTTGCTTTGATAAAAACGTGTTTACCGTGAGCTCCAGAGAGCCGTTGGTCGAGTCTCGGCGGAGATGTTTCGACGTGGGTTGGGATGACGGAGCGTCCAGGATCAGTTTATCGTCCTGGAGGAAGAAAAACGGGAAAACAAGGCAGGTCCACGTTATCAACCAGGGTTCCCAAAGAAACAACGCTGAAGTAGTAATCATCGTGGGAACATCTGTAACCGACAAACATCTGGAGTCAGCCCGATTCAAGATGGCTGCCACAGCCGACTGACCTGAAATTGGCTATAACTCGTTCAGTCGCTGTAACTGAAGCCGATCAGAAACACGGCTCCTCAGTTTAATGTAGCTACAAAACGAGCTTCCATAACGAAACAATTAAATTTCAGCTGGAGCGTCGGCTAACGAGCGGGTAAAGCTCAGGCTGCGAGTTCATCACGTTTAACAGAACGAGACAACGTTCTCCGAGTTCTAGCTTAAAACCAGCAGTACCCGTTCGCCTGTTAGTAAAATATCTCTAACCATTGGATGGTATTTTATGTCAATACCTGTAAAACTGACAGACATTTTTTTTTCCACAACTGAATAACTGGAGTTGATACAATTCAACATGGTTGTCACAGCTAATGGATTAGCCAACAGAAGAACAGCTATAATTCAGCTGTTTTTACAGATACTGAGCTGAAGTTGGACGTGGCAGTAGCTGAGAGCGTTTGATGACACTGAGCACCAACAGAACAATCGTCGACATAAGATCCTCAGTCTGAACTCCTTCATGAACGTCTTCAGTCGTTGCGACCAGGAGAACCGAACGCAGCTTCACTTGTTCGGTGACGGCCGACAGGAGAAACAGGACGACGCTCGTGAAGCTTCAGCCTGCTGAGCTGTCGTCTTTGAGAACGAGCGAGGAACCGTGGCTGCAGCGTATTTTTAGCTCCGTCTGAACGTTCTGGATGAAAAGCGGAGATGTCGAAGACGTCTGCCTTTTGTCAGAAAACACAGTCGCAGCTCCGCGCTGGGAGTCCTGCTCCACTCGTTCTCTTTCATCAGGAAGCTCATTGATCTCCAGATCACCGATCGAGCGCTCGGTGTGGCCGAGCGCCGTCACCTGCCCGACTCAGATCAAAGGGGGAAGTCAAGAGAACCGACGCCGGCGAGAACGATGAGACGTCTCGCACCTCGTCCTTTGACGGAACATCTACACCTGCATGTCTGAAGCTGCTGCGTACCTGCAGGATGTTCACGTTGCAACGGGCGTCGCCCACGAACGCCTCCGCCTCTTTCGCCGTCATCGCCTTGGAGAAGCCTCGGCCCTGTTGGAGCCAGAACACAGAACTGAGAAGAGGAGGTGATGAAGAGGAGGTGATGAAGAGTCACGTTAACGACCTGCACATGTTGGCTCGGAGGGAGGAGCTTCTTTGTTGTTGACATAAGATTTAGCTAAAGTGTCGTCGTCAAGGAAACGGCAAAAACTTAACATTAATCAACTGAACACAAACTGATCCAGTTTAGAAAAAAATAAACAAGAATCATGGTCAGTTTTATTCCTTTTAGCTTCTTGTTAATGTTTAGCTACTTTTAACAAGCATTTGGCTAATTTAATTAGCATTTTGCTTGTTTTTATTTCGATACTCTGAAGTAGAAGTGTGCTGGCGTCCATTTTTAAGAACAAGGGTGATGTATAGAGTTGTAGCAACTAGACTGGTACAGGACATGTATGAGGACAGCAGGACATGTATGAGGACAACAAGACA